CCCAGGTGATTTTAACTCTTCATGGACAGTAGGCTGAACATTTTTACTCATGGGGCTGTCTTAGAATACTGTATAAACAAGAAGGGCTTTCCGGGCATACTTCTGGCAGGCTCCCAATCTGGTGTCTCCATGGGGCTTGCTCATCACCATAAATCTATTTCTGTGATTTTTCTTGCAAAACATGGATTTCTGGGGCGCCAGAGTCACTCATTTTTCCTTATGTGATTATCTGATCTTCGTGTTCCAAACGCTCTCTAAAGCTTCAAACCATAAAGATTTCTTCATCATCATCATCATCAGTGTTTGCCCCTGAATGCACAGCCTCTGCTGCTCAAGTCAATGCTTGCACAGACTGAGGACACATGGAATTTCTGGAGGAGGACTCCCAGCTGCCAAGATAATTCTGGTATTTCAATTCCACTTTCATCAAACTGTGGCAATACTCCCAGATATTATATTTGATTTTATTTTACCTGAGCATCCAAAGGCTTTCTGTCTTGCTCCCAATTCAATTTCAACTCAATTTCAATTTTCAAAAATATGGTCTTTCAAAATGTGTTAGTATATTGACATTGTCAACAAAATGTTGCATTTTTAATTAGTAACAACTGTATTTCATGGTGAAAGAACACTCTATTGGAAAATGTGTGACTGCTTCTAATAGCTAGCATTCATCTCCTAAGCTGACTTCCCAAATGCAAAAGGAAATGAGTTTGCAAGGAGTTCATATACAAAGATAAGAGTTTCTGTGAAGTGTTTATCCATCACAAACCCTGATAAATAATACAGCTGCTTGCCAGGTTCTCATCACCCCAGCACCCTGGGCTCACTTCCCTTGGCAGGGGGTGCTCCTTGGGAGCTCTGAGCAGGCAAGCCAGTGCTGGTGGGGTTAGTGCAGTCAGGATCTATGGTTCGTCCTGTAGAGCTCTCTGGAGATGCTTCAGTCATGCAATTTCATTCCTAAGCTACAGCAGGTAGCTGGCTTGATGTAATGGAAAAACCTTCACACTTCTCTGCTTATCCCTCTGCAAGGTGATTTCAGGCTTTTTATTATGATTTCAGGCCTTTTACTGAGGGTCTCACCCTGCAAACTGATGCAGAAATGGTGCTCCACCCCTAAGGGAAACATGGAGTTACCTGCAAAAATATAGACATTCTTTACCAAATCTAATGAAATTTGAATTTCAAGCATAGTCCTATGCTAATATGAGCATGTGAAAGTGGGGCAATTTTATTTGACAGGAGTAGTGCTCATGCAAGTGCTGGGTCATGGTTTTTTGTCATAGAAATGCACACGGGCCATATTTTATTCCCAGGAGTTGTTAGAGACAGCCCAGCATGGGAGCTGGAGGCCTTGCTCACTAACAACCTCTCTGGCTGAGATAAGTGGACCCTCCATGACAGTGCAGAATGTGTTGCACTTCAGGAAATCTAAATTCCCATATTTTTCTGGGATATCCTAATTCTGAAAACACCAACTTTATCAACTGGCTCCAGTCTGTCATAAAAAGACATGTTTGAAATATGTAATTTTAGCTCTGAAAGGAAGTATTTAGCTAAAGCGTCAGGAACATATTTCCGATGAAAAGTCTTGCTTCCTCCTCTATTGAAACAAGGCCAATAAAAGGTTGTGAGGAATTTTAAGGAAATTCAGTTAGATTCTCATTGCCACCTGCTGCAGAACAAGCCACATCAATTCTGTTTCTTCCCTTCTTAGCCCTGTTGCACTGAATAACAGAGAAAGTATGCATATATGAGACTCCTGGTGTTCTTCTTCATCTTCATCTGTTGTGGCTCAATACCCTGTGTTATTTCAACAGTGCTGTTATCCACAAGAATTTACCCATGCTATTCAAAGTCAGTCTGTGGCTGAAAGGGGAAAGAAAGAAAAGAGGTACTTGAAGAACCCTTGCATGACTTCAGAGATTTTTCTGAAGTCAAAAGGTTTGTGTTAAGAACCAGAACCATCATGAGTCATATATTCCTAATCAAAATGCAGGGTGCGTGAAAAGCTGTTCAGTCGTTCAGAGACTGAACTATGACTCCTTACAAGAAGAAAATAATACACACAAGAGGAAGCATTTAAATAATTGATGTGCTTTTCTTTTATCTGCTTGTAGGAGTGACAAGAAATCTATGTAGCTGGCATTAATGGATAGCATCTGTATGTCAATAATTGCTAATGAGGAAGAAACAGGAGCGCATTTGTCTTGAAGTAACTGATCTTTTTTTCTTTATCTCCCTTTATTACAATGGGAAATTATTAGTGTAAATCTTAGAATTCTGTTCACTTTCAAATCTCAAAGGTTTTCAAATGCCTTTTTTTTGGAATTAATTCAATCCAGAATTGAACTGAACACTTGCTTACATGTAATCTGCATTCTGGCATTTAAGATACTTTTTTTATATCTTCTGTACTACATCCAAACAACAAAATAAAACTTTGTTTGCATCACATGTTTAATTTTCCATTCCACAACAATGAAAGAGTGCAGCCACACTGGAATTGAACAGAAACCAGTAATTTAAAAACACCCAATGCTTTCATCATGAAAAATTGCATAACCATTTCCAGCACTGAAGTAGGATACTCTTTCTGAATAAAGTCTTTTAAAAAATTATTGGCGTATCAAGCTGTTCATATCCAGTGATTTAAGTCGAAGATTGTATTCAGCCATTCCCCCCAAGTTGCTTTTCTGAGGGAACAATTACACAGCTGTTCCTGCTACATTCTTGTGTAGGCTGAAAGCAGTCTAAAAAACTCTGGCATTCATTTCCTGTAACTACAAAGTGCAATGCTCCAGGTTGTTCGTGAGGCATACCCTGTGCAAAGAGGTTACTGAAGCAGTACATACACTTGACACTAATATTGTGCTTTGGCTAAATTATTTATAGCCGTGTGCATGTGTGTACACGGGCGCATGCACAGGGCTGTAGGGTTTGTGTTCGAAGCAGGGCTCTGGACTGCAGCCACATTGCAGTGCTAATGATATCTGTCACTGCACCAACTTTTTGTGGCTGTATTATCTGGCTGCATTCAAAATCAAGGATTTTGGAAATACACTTCCAGCCCTGCTGTGCTCATTGGATTCAGCAAAGAGGCATTTCTGCACTAGTGAACACTAAGCAGTGTATTAGAAGGTTTGGTGATGATTTTTTGCAGCTCTTTTTATGGAGTGTTAAGTTTTAAACTGCCAAAGTTTTAAACTTTGACCTAACTAGTGAAAGAGCAATAGCCACAGAGAGAATTACTTCAAAATTCCTTGACATGAAAAGCAAGATGTCAGCAACTGGTTCACTAAGATTACTTAATAACTCTGATGGGAGTACCACAATTTCTCTGTCCACTGCTGGTTTGGTGCATATTTTTATATCAACGTATATGCATCCACACATCTGTGAGTATAGGAACCAGAATATTTTGCCAGGTCCATGAAGCAGGTGTCCCTTGGGACAGGTTGGTTGCATCTGGCATTAGGCAAGGTGAATGTAGCTTCATGGGAGCAGGCCTGGAAGCAGGGTTTGGCAGTATGGGAGAATAGAGAAATAAACCTTTGCTCTGTTTCTGGCACGTTTCTAATCCTCATCTAAACATCACTTTAATTTTCATTCCTGCCCATAGAAAATAACTTTCTTCCCTCAATGCATCCATGGATGTTTTTCTGGAAGAAAACTTTAAGGTCCTTTCAGCAGTATAGGTAATTGAGATATCAGTAATTTCTGCACTCAAGATGCCGTGCACTCTTGATATCAGTTTCATCATTAATATCAGATGCCAGCTGATACTGATACCGTCACCCTGAAATATCCCACCCCCAACTCAGAGTGCTTAATAAGCAAGCTGTGGCCAGGCCCCTAAAATCAAAGCCTGTAAAAGCGAAACTTTGCTGGTTAACATTTCACCCATTTGAGCAGAAAAGCAGGAAATACTCATTTTCATCTCTTCTGTCTTTAGCTGATAGCAACAGCCCATGAAATTGTGCATGGTGCAGCTCACTCCGCACCATATACATAATTTATATTTTTCCACTCTAGTTACGACTGCGCCTAGTCTTGGGATTTGCTCTGTAAAATGGAAGCAGGGAGAGGAGGAAAAAAGAAAAATACTGCAGTAGCCTTCTCCTTCTCCAGCCTCACTTTTTAGCTCATCTTTGATGCACAGCCTTCACAGACCAATGGAACAGGAGTGCTACACAGTACATGTTGCATATACATATTCACGTGAAAAGATAAATGCTTGCCATGGTAAAATAAAAAATAAAAGGTATTTCCAGTAGTCCATATCTTTATTAGTAAAATGCCTTCGCAGAGAATTAGGCTATCATTTTGACAAGATTTTCTTTTTGTACAGGCAGCCTAGATAATATTTAAAGTTCCTATAGAAGTTTTTTTTAAAAAAAACAGCTGAGAAAGTGCTTCTTGCTGACATGCTCTTCTGCCTAGTGAAGTTTGAAAGATACAGCCCTGAGCTCTAGTAGGGGATTCCTTCCCAGATACAGGCAAAGTGTGTAATGCACTTGTTTTAAAAATAATGTATATTTCTATTTCCTTTCAGCAAATAAAGCCTTGGCATTACATTTATCTGCCCTGGTAGTGTCCGTTACCATGCAGGAAGGTTTATCAAGGAACAAACAGGACACATACAGCGCCTGGTCCTGCAGCACCCATCCCCACAAACTCTCCTGAGCGAGCTCACGACTGCACGCACCGAAACCATCATCCCTGCGGATTCCGACCCTTCATTCATCAGCCTGAATCCCAGAACCCTTCCTCCTGCCCAGCCCCTGTGCCTTCAGAGAAAACCCAGGCACTACCACCCTCCCCGCCCTCCAGGGACTCCAAGGCACTGCACAGGATCTGCAGTGCTTTCAGGGAGTTTCTGCTCTCCCTGCTGCGGCTCCGGCTCCCTTGGAAAGCAAGCGGCTTCGCGTGTGACTCTGCAATCCGAGCCTGCGAGCCGGCCGGCAGGACACCGGGGTAAATATAAATCTGGCGCTTACCCACAGGCAGTCCCTCGCAGTCTGACATCGTGCGAGAAGTCCTCCTCACCGGGGGCTCAGGAAAACCACTGCAGGACCACGAACGCGGGTCCTTCTCTTTCCAAAGGCAAGGGGGGAAAAATATCTGACAGTTTACAGGCACCCTTCTCTTGCACTCCACATCTACCCACCCAGAGAGCTGTAGCAACAGTCCCGTCCCTGCCTTCTCATTATGGGATGTAAAGATAAGAATGTGCTTTTGTGCCAAAAGAGTGTGCTATTGGTGGATAAATTTGTTGTCATCCCTCCCCTTCGCAGAGTTTCCTCTTTAATGTCACAGAGGCACATTACCCTGTCGGAAAGGCCATCGAATATTTATGAAACGGCTTTTAAGAGCCGAGCCGCAAATCCGCGCGGGAGAGCAGAGCTAATTGCTGTGCGCTGGGGTTGGGGCTGGGAGCCACCCCGCAGGGCGCTCCTGCTTCCCGGGGGGCTGGGGCGGAGCTGCTGGCCTGGGGGACAGGCTCTGGCATCTTCCTCTGTACCCTCTCCTTCGGCAGGGTCCGAGTACAAACACTGCTGGAAAAGGGGGCAGGAGCCAGGGTATATCTCTTTAAGGACGGAGGAAAAAAAGGTCTTTGTTTATATTGTAATATCTGAGAAATTGTTTTGTGACACTGTTGCTAAAGGCTGTTTCGTAGTTTATAATAATATCGTGAGTGCAGATTTCTCTGTGACTTCGTGACTTTTCTTGCTTAAAATATGTCACTTTAATGCCAGTTTAGTGGCTGCTCCTACAAGATATTTTTTTACTCTTTGAAAATGTTTATGTGGGATTAGTTGGTTACGAGGTTCCCAGACTCGCACGGTCAGTGGAGAGTACCCCTGCACGCTGGTGTGCTCATTAGGCACCTTAATGAAGTGCAAGCAAAGGCTCTGGCAGCGTTGGAGCCAGGCTGGGCTTGGCAGAGACGTGCGGGACCTGGTGGGAGCCTCAGCGCCCGGGGGTGCTGATTTGCTGCCACTTTTTGTCCTGGGGACAGTCAGGAGCAGCCTGGGCTTTGTCTGACACAGACCTTCAGTGTCTGAGCCCTCCCCAAATGTCGGCGTTTCAGCCCCAGAGCCCGAGGGAGGGCTGAGACGAGGCAAGGGGGGGCTCCATGGGGGGCAGTCTCTGGGAAGCACTTCCAGACCATGTGGCCAGACAGCCCTGGGGGAAATGAGCCATCGGGAATATCTTTCTTCAAAATGCCTTGAAGAAATAAAAGCATAAATTATATGAAGTATACTAGGAGTTCAGGGTGCCCAGCACCCCTGAAAAGCGTGGGCTGTTTTACTCAGATGCTTCAGTCCAAGCACCCAAAGGCTGGCACTGCTGGCTCTGCCTGAGCTCTCCCTGAAGAGAAGCCTTTTTATACTCTACTGGTTACTCAGCAGCACAACTAGCCATGGATTCAATTCAGGATGTCAGGCCTCTGACTAAGAAGCAAAAATAGCTGCAAAAGTAGATTGTGACATGTTCCCAAAACCATTCCTCGGGTTGCCTACACAGGGTTGGGCATGCAGAGCCAGGAGTGTCTGGCCAGCGTGAGGCTCTGTTGGCACAGTTCTGTCAGGGCAGCCCTTGTCAGTGCCTGCTTCCCAATCTGCTCATGCAGCACGCATGGAGATTTTCACTGGTGTAAGGCTCACCTGGAGGGGAGCTCTGAGGAGGAGCAGAGCCTCAGGCTGTGCTCTCTGCCAAGGAGGCTGTACAGGGAGAAGTGCAGGGCATCATGCCCAGCCTCTCCATCCTGCTGCCGCCACAGACCCAGGGAGTGGCCACTAGCTATTCTGGCAGTCAGGGAAATGTCTGGTCTTGATCTCAGTATGCATCTGGGAAAGAAAGAAGGCCTAAACCAGACTGGGGGACTTTTCTTGCAGTGTCATCTGGCTGCAGACACATATTGCTCCAATGTGTGACAATCAAAGCTTTCTTAGCTCGACCCTGTGGAAACGCAGGCTCCCAGCCCTGCAAGCATTTACGTGCCAATTTAACTTCAAGCCCCACTGAAGTTTCTGGAACTGCTCACAGTTATAAACACATACAAAAGTATTTGCAGGATTAAGGGCTCACCATTCCTCCTTGTATTCGGAGCAAACAGCTGCAGCTGGTTTTGAAGTTACCTCTCACAGCTGTGTGCTGGTGCTCCTCCACTGAAAGTCAGAGCCCTCTGGCAGAGCTGGACAAGTGCCTGCAGGGAAGGCACGCCAAATCCCAGACTGGTGTCTCAGCTCTATCTTGTCCTTCAGAGGAATTTAAGAGGCCCCTGCCCCCATTACATTGTCCATGGCCCCGTCTGCTGCAGGTGGTCACATCTTCTGGAAGAGGGGCAGAGAAGCCAGCAGAGACTGAGGGGGAAGGACAAATATATCTTAAACTACTACAGCAAAGTTGGCAAGAGTCCATCTGCCAGAGCCCTTACTAGGATTTGGCCTTGGGAGAGCTCTTCAGTGAAACACTAAAGGAGGTCAAAAGTTGAAAAAATCAACTTACAACAATACTCACAAACAAACACCTTCTTTTGATGCGGATACTTCAATCAAAAAAATAGGTCTGATCCCTGGATACTTTAGTTATAATGTTGGTCTTTTATAAATTATAAGACTTTTTTTACTTTGATTAAAACAGAGTATTTCTTTTACCTTCCCCCATTTCTCAGCCTGAAAAGAGAAGAGCCATGTTTGCTCCTGGATAAAGGCCAAGCCTGGAAAATTTAAGTCTGACAGAGAAAGTTTAAGATATTTATGAATAAGCCTGGTGTCTGTCATAGCAAAAAGGCAAAAGTCAAAAACTGAAATAAAAAATAAAGGGTGAGAAGTAAAGCACATATTATTTCAGCAGGTATTGCACTAATGGGAGAAATGGGCTAAGTATTTGCCAATAACTGCTCTCACTTAGGCTTTCCAAGGAACCTGAAGGATGCTTATCCCTCAACACAAAGAGAGAACCATTTATAAATATCTCTGCTTCATTCTATTCCCTGACAGACAGCTGTCTGCATAAATCCATGACAAGTACCATGAGTGGGGTAGTAAATGCAATGTATGTAAGGAAGTCACTGGAGTATTTCCTAAAGAAGATTTTCCTGGACCATTTAGTTTCCTCTGGAAGACAGCTGCATTTTCCTGCTGCATCTTGAAATACTTAAGCAGCTGCTATGGTGTCCCCTCTCTGGAGATTTCCAGGAAGAATTATCTGCCCAGGAATGTTGTGGATGTCCCATCCCTGGACACATTCAAGGCCAGTCCTGACAGTGCCAAGGGCTTTTGAGATACAAAAGCTCTGGAGCTGAGCTGATATGCCTGAGGAAAGAGGGCATGTTTGGGGAAACCTGGGTGCAGCGTGCAAGTACACAGTCATCTTAGAGCTCAAATATTGCCACCTACACAAGTAAGATATGTAGTATTTTCTCATCTACCTGTTTAGACATCCCATCTGATCTGTGCCTAATCTAAGTGTTTAAATATAATGGAAAATCAGGGCTTTAAGATTTTAAATCCCATGAGGAGGTCATAATTTTCCCCATGACCTGACTGACACAGCAATCTGGCTGTGAAAAGAGCCTGATCCACCTGAAAGCTCCCAGCTGAACCAGAGCTTTTGCTACTGCTGACTTGCCTCTTGCTCAGCCATGGATGGAGCAGCCTCATCCAAGCCTCGCAGGAAGTGCAGGAGCATGCGGACTTTACTGGTGGAAGAGCTTTGCTAAGCTCAGCACATGGGGCATGGGTGAGTTGTTCTGCTTCCCTCTGCCTTTTTCTCTCCTGACAGAGGGAAATAATGAGAAGTGAGAGTTATTTCTTTAGCTAACAAAATCATATCTGATTATTAAATCTGCAATTTTCCGTGAGATTGAAGCGAGCGCAGGCATTTCTGTCTCCCATCAGCGTGATTTCCACGCAGTTTAAAGAGAGAATGGCTGAAATGCGCTTCTCCCTTCTAATTTATGCAAATTCCCTTGGGATTTTCCTGCCGTGTGAAGAGATTTCTGACTGTTGTGTACGGAGGATTCACAGCCTGGGGAGGGGGAGGGGAAGGACAGGGCTAGAAGAAAAACTCCAGGCTGATATAAGCAGGTTGGCATCAGGATGTGGATGACCTTCTCTCAGAGCACTGAAGAGCCCAGAATGTTAGGAATTTCTTAGCTAAGACACTTTTTTCCCCCTTGAAAAGCCCTGCAGTTGTGGGGATAGAATGTGCCTGTCTGTCCTCTAATATAAGGGGTAAAATTGACCCCAGCTTTTGGATTGCAGCTAGTTTATAGGGCAGAGAAGCAAGAGGGGAGTGTGCTGGCTGGCCACCACCAGCCCCACTGTCAGCCTCACTGTCAGCCCCACATCTCCTGAGTCACTGACGGGGCCTTGGTGAGGTCCTGGATGTACCTCTGGGATCAGGGAGGCAAAGCCAGGGCCAGTGGGATGCTGTGCCATGAGTACATGGGGCAGAGGAGGGAGCTGCTGCTCAGATGGGCTTGAACCTCTGCACAGCAAGCAGGCTCAGCGAGAAGCAGAGTGCCCAGGAAGTCCCAATTATTGGAATTTTATTTCATTATTGTTTTCTGACACATTCTCTTGGCATTTCCACTTGATGGATGGGAAGTATAATAATGCAATTTCAAGAGAAGCTGATGCTTTGACAAGATCTCATGTGGGCTCATCGAGAGAAGGAAGAGTAAAAATAGGCAAGATACAGCTGACAGCTAAAACAGCCCTCTAGGAAGCAACAAATACAAAAGTAATGGAAGGCACCCAAAATAACTAGGCATGTCATAATTTTGCATTTATCTCTATTTTTAAAATGTTATTAGCAAGATTTTCACTAGTAAAAATTGAATCTGAGCTTTGTATTCAAGAAAGGAAATGTCTCCATCATCTCCTCTGATGTCACCCCAGAGAGAAGATTAGAAGATTAAGTATGTCAGGTGACACAAATCCAGCAGCAGGGAAAATAATTTTGCACATTGAAAAAGAAAATGGGGAAGAAATTCCTGCTGTCTCCAAGAAATGTGAACCTTACTAGTGAAAACTGCTGGCTCACAGAGAAAATGTGGAAAGATACAGTAAAGAAAATGAGAAGATCAAAGATACAGAAGAGGATTTTTCTTAAAGAAGTAATTAAATGATAGTCTGAATCTTGGTGGCATTTTTATCCCATCTAATTTATGAAAGGTTACCTTCTCTGGGGGGGAGTTATGAAAGGCCACTGCAATGATGTGAAGAAACAAAAAAACTACATTTGAAAGACAAAACTGGGTTCTGAGCTGCCACAGCTTTTGCTGACAATGTCCCCTGACACACTGAGCCAAAATGAGCCTGCTGTGGC